CAGAATCATCACCATCGTCATCATCATCAGCAGCAGCCGCATCATCATCCTCCTCCTACGCTTCCTCAACATCACCACCACCACCATACTCATCAGAATCGTCATCATCGGCGTCGTCAGCATCGTCATAACACCAACACCACGATCATCAGAATCATTATCATCATCAGCAGCAGCATCATCATCGCCGTCGTCACCGTCGTCGTCCTCCTCATCCTCCACATCATATCCTCCTCCTCATCATCATTCAACTCGCCATTATCATCAGCATCAGCATCATCATCATGATTATCATCAGCATCAGCATCAGCATCAACAGCATCCTCACCGTCGTCATTATTTTCATCATCAGCATAACAAACATCATCTTCATCATCGTCATCATCATCATCCTCATCAGCATCATCATCAGCATCACCCTCATCCTCATCAGCATCATCACCGTCACCATCATCATAATCATCGTCAGCATCATCGTTATCATCAGCGTCAGCATAAGCGTTGACCTCCTCCCTCTTCTTCCTCATCGTCATCCTATTCCTCATCGTCCCTCATGTTCCTCCTCATCCTCATCATCACCACTGGCATCCTCATCATCACCATCATCATCGTTGATATCGTTCGCCGCCTCCTCATGCTCCTCTTCATCCTCCAACTCCTCGTCCTCCGTCTCGTCATGATAATCATCAACGACACATTGAAACTGCCCGTCCTCATTCGCTCACACGTACACGCCAAGCCCTCCATTCTGGCCCTCGACGTCTTCGAGCGTACCCCCTTTGGGGGGCTCCTTTCTTGTTCCATACCAGCTCCCGAGTAAGCCCGGGCATCCCCTCACTGTCCTGACTTCCGGCAGCCCCCACACACCCGACTTAGGATTGAGCGTGACACACCGCCACTTTACTCTGGAAAATTCCCCCCCCTTTCCTCCGGAACCCAGGGGTCCCCCCCCCTTCCCCGCCTCCTTCCCGCGGCACCCCCCCCCCTAACCCCTTCCCCCCCCCTCCGGAAAACCGGGCAGGGTCACTACCGGTTCGAACACACCCCCCCTCCAAAAACCCGGGGGGGGTCACTACGGGTTCGAACCCCCCCCCCCTCACCGCCAGCCAACGACTCCAGGGTCCCCACCACCGTCCGCACCACATCCCCCCACCGCTGTCCTCAGCACCACCGTCCCCACCCCCACCACCACTGTGCCCACTTTTCCCACCACCGTCCCTACTGTCCCCACCAGTGCCTCCACCACTGTCGCACTGTCCCCACTGTCCCCACCACTGTTCCCACCACTGTCCCACTCTCCCCACTTCCCCCACGGTCCCCACCACTGTCCCAGTCCCCACTGTCCCCACTGTCCCCATTGTCCCCGCCGCTGTCCCACTAAGCTATCTCACTGTTCCCACCACTGTCCCCACTGTCCCCACCACTGTCCCCACTGTACCCCTGTCCTATTGTCCCACCACCGTCCTCACCACCACCCTCACCACTGCCCCCACCACCACCGTCCCCACCACTGTCCAGTCCCTACTGTCCGCACCACTGTCCCACTGCACTGTCCCACTGCACTGTCCCACTGTCCCCACCACTGTCTCAGTGTCCCCACTGTTCCCACCATTGTCCCCGCTGTCCCCCCACCACTGTCCCACTGTCCCCACTGTCCCCATCACTCTCCCCACTGTACCACTGTCCCACCACGGTCCTCACCACCGCCTTCACCACTGTCCCCACCACTACCATCCCCACCACTGTCCCACTGTCCCCTCTGTCCCCACCACTGTCCCGCTTTCCCCTCACCACTGTCCCACCAACACCGTCCCCACCACTGTCCCACTGCCCCCACCACTGTCCCACTGTACCACCACCGTCCTCACCACTGCCCCAGTGTCCTCACCACTGTCCCACTGCCCCGAGGAGCGGGAATCGTTCGCCGGCGACGAGAAGGGGGGGGTTCGAACCGGTAGAGACCCCCCCCCGTTTTCATGATGGACGGAGTGGGGGAGGGGAGGAGGGGGTTCGAACCGGTAGTGACCCTCACCCGGTTTTCGAGGGGGGGGAGGGGGACGGGTTGGGAAACCCCAGAGACGCCCCTGGCTTTCCGCCAGCAGCGGTAGAACACGCTCTTTCCGATCTAGGGGATCCAACACAGTATTCCAGGGTGGCGAACGCCGTAAGGTCTTTATCAGGAGCGGATTGTTTAAGCGAGACGTTACGCAAGACGCGCGCGCAAGCTTATGAGAAAATGTGTTCTCTACCACGTGTGTGTGAACCTGCTACGAATAAGCCGAGACAGTGGCATGTATTCGGAGTCTCGGTTCCTCCTCCTGCGCCTTCTCCTTGGATCTCTTGGCAAGCCGCAGTTCCGTGCAAGGTTGGGCGGTCTGTATTTCTCGAGTCTGTACCCGAGCGCCGTTCCAAGGGCTGACGCATGGTTCTTGTACTGTACACCCACCCGATTTCTGGTCCACCCACCGCCGGCATCGCCTCACCGTTTGGACGATTGTCT